GGAAATCAGGAAGCAGATAAGCTGTCCTAAGAACTGGGCTCTCAGGAACATGTATCCTTACCTAACAAAACTGCAGAAAATAGTCTGTGAATCTAATAGTGTAATTTTAAGCCCTGATCAAAGCTCAGTAACAGAATCCGCCTTTTGCTTTATTCCAGAGGAAGGAAATGTCTGAATTTCACCAAGACTACATTTAGATTTTTTTATACTAAAAACAAAATTATAACTAGCACACAAAATAAAACAAGAATCTCACAAGAATCTAAACACTGCAATATAGAGGTGCCTTTTTAAAAAAACATTTCCTTTTGTATTTTTATGCATTCATAATTCTTAGAGTCACAATTAAGACAATACATAAATGTATAGTTTTCACTTTCTAATGTAATTATTTTAATGTTTTCACAATGACCTATTAACAACCTCACAAATACAAAGATAAAAACAGAATAGTAAGTTTAAAATACAGGTATTATTTTAATTATACTATAAAAGTGTCTAATTTTTCTCTTAATGATAACAAGGATCAAACCCAGGAACTTGCTAGGCAAGCACTCTACCACCGAGTTATATTTCTAGCCTGAAAAATGTCCAACTTTCACAAAACAGTGGGCAAAAGATCATTTCCCCCAAGGAAGATATGGAAGTGGCTAAGAAGTTTACAGATTGAGTAAATAGGTCAACTATAGAAAAGTAAATTCTATAATTACTATTTTTTCTGTATTAAAAAGTTATATAATAGTGTGATTTCATTGGGAATGCCAAAGTACACAGATCTGTATTTTTCATAGCACAGTCAAGTTTTCAAATCATTGCATACAAATGGTAATGACATTCAGACTAGATAAGAAATAAAGCTATCTCTACTTGCAGATGACACATCTGTTATAGATAGAAAGTCACACATAGACTTAAGGAAGTCACACATATAATAAAAACTATCAGTTACAACAAGTTGGACATGGATGCAGTAAACAGGTCATTATACAAAAAGCAATGGAATTTCTACATATTTTTAATAAATAATTCAAAAATAAAATGAAAAATTCAATTTACAAAGTCAGCAAAAAGAAAAGTATTTACTCAGAACAATATCCAATATTCTTTATAAGTTTTTCAAAAACTCTCAGCAAACTGGGAATAAAGAGGAACATTTTTGTATCTAATATAATGAGAAAAAATCCAAAATGACTTAAAAACAGAGCCACATAAAATCCTGCAAAAAAATGTTTACTGTAGCCTTCTTTATAACTGCCTAAACTTGAAAACTATGAACTATCACACAATGGAATATTAAGTAATGACAGGAAATAAAATATCACACACAAAAGGACATAGAGGAATTTTAAGTGAACATTACTAAGTGAATAAAACAAATCTGAAAAGGCTGCATACTATGGTTCCAAGTATACTATTCTGAGAAAAGTAAGCTATAGTGAAGATAAAATGCCAGGGATTTAGAAGGATGGTAGAGATGAACAGTTAAATCCCCACTGAGTTTTAGGACAATGAAATCATTTTGTATGAGAGCATAATGGTAGATGGATGTTATATCTGTCAAAGCCCATACAATATATAACACAAAAAGTAAACTTACTATAGATTATAAAGTCTATAACATATCAATATTGGCTCATCAATACTAATAAATGTATCATATTATCATTCACAACCAACCTATGGAATCAGCCTAAGTGTTCAGTAATGGCTAAACAGATAAAGAACACGTGGTGTACATATACAATATCATATTACTCTACCATTATGGGAGAGAATGATGGAAGAGGTGACATTAAAATGTAGTACCATAAATTGACAAATTGAATTGAAATTTTTTTGTACAACTACTATAAGAGCAAGAAAATAAATGGATGAATGAAATTCTGGCATTTGCTGGAAAATGGATAGAACTTAGTACCATAGTGTGAAATATACCAGTTCCACAAAGACAAGAATCACATGCTGTCTCTCATTTGTGACAGCTAGGAGAGAACAACATGCATATACATTAAAAAAGAAGTCATGAAAGTAAGAGAGGGAGTACTATAGAAGTGAATAAGAAAAGACAAGGGAAGTAAGAGAATAAGAGTAACACAGAGGTAAATACAATCAACGCAATTATTTTCTCCTTTTTTTCTTTGTTTTTTTTGTCCATATATTTTTTATTGTAAAATACTGTACAGAAGGGTTACAGTTACATGAGTAGAGTAATGAGTACATTTCCTACCGAGCATTGTTACCTCCTCCTTTGTTTTTCCCCTACCATCCCCTCCCTCCCCCAGAAATTGTAAAGTTCATTTTCAACATAGTGTCTTGTACATCTCATTGTTACAATGGGTCAACCTGTATCCTTTTTTTTTTTACTTCTTTTTTTTTTCAACCTGTATCCTTAATTAACCATTTTGTTATATCCCTTCCCCTCCCCAAATTATAAAAGTGTATATACAAGATGCAGGACACCAGACTTAGATACAGTGAAAACAGGAGTTATACTGTGGGGGAAGAACATACAAAAGAATCACATAGTGCATTGTAAGTACATTAAAAGTAAGAAAGAAAAAACCACTTGTGTCCCTGTCTTCGGGTTCATTTTGCTTAACATCATCTTATTTGGTCATATGTATATAGCTTTTGACCTTTTTTGCTTGTCCTAGACATGTACTAGTTACTGCACATAAGGGAAACCATGGGACCTGTGTTTCTTTGGGCCTGGCTTACTTCATATATTTTTTTCCAAGTCTTAACATTTCTTTCTGATTTTACTAGCATAAACTGATTGCACAGAGAGGTTTCATTATGATATTTACATGCATGCATAGATAGAATGCATTTTGATCAAATTCACCCCAATCCAAGAACATTATATACATGTATGGAAATGTCAAGATGAACACTCTTAATACATGGCAATAAATACTTTTTGTATGTGCCAGACTAATGCAAGATAATAATATTCAGGAAACTGTATTATATGGAAACTCTAAACTTTCTCCTCAATTCTTCTATAACCTACCCTGAAAAGACTATTTGCTTTAAATTAAGCAAATAATGTAAATCAATTTTTAAAACTCTAAATAATGGGGCCGGGTGCCAGTAGCTCACACCTGTAATCCTAGTTACTCAGGAGGCTGAGATCTGAGGATCACGGCTCAAAGCTAGCTCGGGGCAGGAAAGTTTATGAGACTCTTATCTCCAATAAATGGCTCCGAAAACTGGAAAGTGGCGCTGTGGCTCAAGTGGTTGAGCGCTAGCCTTGAACTGAAGAGCTGAGGGACAGCGCCCAGGCCCAGAGTTCAAGCCCCACAACCAACAACAACAACAACAAAAATCTAAATGATGCTCATAAGGTCTACCATTCAGAAGAGGAAAAAAGTTGTAAATGCATTGGGCACACTGGAATTTGCTCAGGACTGAGCAGCTCAGGGTTGTGGAAAGAAGAGCAGCTGCTGCAATTTTCAGATAACCTCTTATTTGGCTGCTCCTGAAACAATTGTATTTACTGTAAATAACAAAATTCTATTCCTAGTAATACTCTGAAATTATCCTCCTTATCTGCAATTAGCTTTAACTATGGGCTCTGGAAAGCTTTTCTGTCTTTTACACAAGTAACTGAATTAGATTTTCAAAAATGTTCCCCAAACCTAAACACCATTCTCCTTTGTGACCAGCTCTGTCTCTCCGCCACCCTGCCTGGCTTACCATCCACCTCTGCTCCCTCCCAGCTGTGTGCTGCCTCTCCCAGTATCTTCAATGCTGGCAGGTGCCTGAATATAATATGCACAGGGCCTCTGCAGTCAGGGACGATGCAACAGTCCCTTTACACTGAAGACAACACCACAGCAAGGAGCGATTTCCAAGCAGGGTGTTTTAGAAAATGAAATATGAGAAGCTGCATGTAGGCTAAAGTATATGTGTGTGTATGTGTGTGCAGCTTTCTGTGTATCTGTGTATATGTGTGTCCTCTCTCAATTCTGTCCTCCATCTCCCTACGCTAACTGCTATGTTGACTTAATTCTCATGGTTTTTCCTTACACAGTAACAAACAATTACCACTAGCAGCTCCACCAGCAGCAGCTCTAGCTTAATGAACTGGCCGTGACTCACCAGGCTTGTCACGTGCCCACAACTCACGCAGTGGAGTCACCTCCCCTGACCACAAGGCTGAAAACCAGGCAAGGCTAAGTGCCTAGTGACTTATTAAAGGGAGGCAGAAGAATAATGAGTGGACAAGGTCAACGGATAGCCACCACTCTATTGGCTCTCAGTCTCTGTGGGTGCCTCCCTCCCTCACAGGCCCTGCTGACAGCTTTTGTGTGTACACGGTGCCGAGTTCCCCACCAAAAAGCAAGGAGAAACCATCTACACATGGAATCTCTCCCTGAACAATGGCCTTCCATAAAATGAATGACTTCCCACCTTACTGCCACTCATGGACTTACGCATGCTGTTTCCTTCTAGTTCACAGAGTGGCTCTTCTGCATTCATGCAAATATCTATTGTTTTCTGGACATTTCTCTCCCTTTGTCCTCTATGAGTACCTTAACACCGAACGCATGCTACTGAAAATCAGTGTGAAGGTAGCTTCTATTTGAGGGAAAAAAGGAGTACTGACATCTTCCCCAGCAAGATATATGCACAGCCAGAAGGACCTCAAGAGAAATGAGCGTTTGTGTCTCCTGAGAGTACCAACGTAAATGTGTACACAGTTAGAAGTAGCATAACCCCATGAGGGCTGACGTGCCTTCCCTCCAAAATAAACCAAGACCATTAAGGCAGTGCTGTGCTGTCTTCTCTGAGAGAGGAGAGGAACAATTAGAAGACAGCACAGAAGATATGAAGAAAAGGAAAGAAAGAGACAGGAGGCACTACACCAAATATACTGCCAAGATAGATTGCCATGTGATGCTGAGAATCTTTCAATTAATGGGGAAACTACTTAGGGTGGTCCACAATACAACATTTTGTTATTTTGTACTTTCTTTGGAATGTCTTATACCAACCTGATTATGCTTAAGTTATCTGTCTGCTTTTCACAGGACCTTTCTTTTATGGATTTTCCAACCAGCAAAGGTTTCTGTTCCACGGCTGGGCAGGTCCGACCACAGCATGCTTGGCTAGAGATCGTAGCTCACCCAAAGCAGCTCCAACCTGGAAGGGGCAAAGGCCAGAGCCATTATAAGGATTCACGATTCACAATCTCTCTTTCTCTATCTCTATCTGTGTATCTATCTTTCTGTCTTTCTCGATCTTTCTCATACATGATTGAGAGGATAATCTCCAATACCTTCCAGAAGTTTAAAATCATTAATGAACAGAGACCACAGCTTATATAGCATCCTAAAGACAAGTTGAGGCTCTTCTGAGAGTAGGATTGAAGTAGTTAACAATTATTGAAAAGATTTGCCTGAATGATGAAGTTCTGTTTGTGGAAATTTTTAAAGCCAGATGTTTTAATTAACCATGGAAAACAGGCTATAACTAAAATTTCTTGAACACACTGATCTGCCCATGGAAAACCACAGGAATGTTCTGGCAGGCCTCAGTCTGAATTCTTAGGACACGGAGGCCTGGAGCTATTCCCCTTAGGAACTCAAACAGAAAATTAACTTGCTCAATATGTTTCAAAAAGTACAATGAAACCCAGACTTCATCTCAATCAAACATGAAAACATTTCAGGACTTCAAAGGACACAGAAAGACAAAAAGGGAAGTGGGGGGGGGGGGAAGATCCGTAAAAAAAATTCTAATGGCTTCAGAATTCAAGTACATTTATATTGCAAAACTATATAGTTGCAATAATCCAAAGGGGAAAATGAATTATCCTTCATTTCCTAACAGAGGAAATTATATACTAAACCAACATTCCACAAATATCATAAGTGCCATCAAATGTATATCTGTGGAAAAATAAAGTCCCTTAAACATTCTACTGCCAGGCCTAGGCTTGAGGAATCAGGAGACCCAGAAAAAAGTACTAAAATAAGTTATGCCAGCTGATGTGGCAGCACGTAATTGTGGCATCTCAAATGAAGTAACCTTACAAAAGCAATTAGTGCAGAAGCAGAGCTAATAAAGAAATAGTAGTTTGTTAACCATAGCAATTCTTATGGCAACATCTATATATGCTAAATAATACAAACCTTTTCAAAATGCAACAGGAAAAATGTTAGTAACAGATACTGCTGTACAATTCTATTATTGTAAGTCAAAACAGTACCCCATCACAAAGTGTGCCAAGCATAATATTACATCAATCTCTACTTTCCCTTGAAACCTCAGTCTCCAGGAAGGTATTAAATCTGTAGGGTACAATGTTGTTCTATAGTCTGAGTATGTATAATCGAAAGAAAACACAGGGCAAATAGTAGCATTTCTGGAAGCTATTTGTATTTCCTTTATATTTCCTATAATGTACATTGATTACAGAATTATAAATTTTAAATATGGATATTTAAAAATATGAGAATAATCAAGTGTTGGTGGCTTATACCTATAATCCTAGTTAATCAGGAGGCTAAGATCTGAAAATCAAGTTTTGAAGTTAGCCTAGGTAGGAAAGTCCATGAAATTCTTTTCTAAAAATATTTTTTATTGTAAAGATGATTTATAGAAGGGTTATAGTTGCATAAGTCAGGTAATTAGAACATTTCCTTTTGAATAATGTCACCTCATTCTCTCCCAGTTTTTCCTTCCAACATAGTGCCTTTTCCTTAGCTGTACAGCCAGGAAGCAGGGATGTGAGTCCAGATCACTGGCCTCTGCCTGAGCCAATCGCTCTTTCCTCCACAAAGGCATTTAACATGCACTCAGAAATGGCATCTGTATGAGTCCCACACAGGTTAAATTCATATCAGCAAAGCCAGAAATCAGACAGGAATGTGTTCCGCCAAAGCTGAAACCCAGGCAGGAAGAAAGGTGAAGACAACCCCAGGCTAAAAAAGACCCAACTCTGCTCCTAAAGTGTGCAAAAGAAGAAAACAATGGTTGCACTGTAAAGCTGGAAGCAGGTGTCTTCAACAGAGACTGCCTATCAAGACGAAAGCTTTCTCATCTTAGTACTGGCCCTCTTAATACCAGCACAATCCTCCAGCTCCAAGTGGGATAAAAAGTTTCCAACAAGATAAAACTAGACCGGTACCAGCCACCTACAACAGACAGGAAGGACAAGCGTCCTGTTTTCAGAAATAAGTGATTTATGGCATCAAGTTCCAGCCCTTCCCAAAATGATTCAAGTCTAAGGAAAACACATTAATGGCTTCAAAATCAAATCACCAAGAATGAGAATAAAACCGTGATTCTAGTGATTCACACTTTTTCCTTTCCTTCATAATTACTGCTTTGAAATGGTGCTCACTTCTTCATTAATATCTACCTGCAGTATTCACACCAAACCAATCAGAAACATAACAATCTCACAAATGGGACTAGCCTGAGAAGTAAGGAGGGCAAAGTGGACAGATGGCAATGATCAACTTAGAAATGCTTCCTGAAAGGCTTTCATTGAACTTCATCTCATCAGCCTTTCCCTACTGCACAGCTGGACAACAAAGGCCTGAACTGTACAGCTAATAAAAAGAGCCGCATTAGGGATGATGTGATCCAGCTTTGTCACAGCCCAACACACACAAAGGCTCTCTCCCTGGATGAAAAACAAAAGGCTTGCTTTCCACCCCAAACTGCTCCTTAAATCCCCACTGTCCACCATGGCCAGATTCTACAGAGAACACAATATCAATTGTGATTCATTCCCTTCTATACTTCACTTCTAACAGTAAAAATTAATGTCCACAGAGAATAAAAGAGATGTGATTCTTGGTGTTATTTCACAGAGAAATCTGAGCTTTGTGGAGAGCATTGTTCAAGTAACTCTTTAAAATCATTTTTAAGACAATGATGGTAAGTTTAAACTTAGAAATCTGGTGGAATAAACTCAACCACAAGTTGAACAGAATCTTGCTGAAGTCACCAAAGTATCTTTCTCAATAGAAGACTAAACAGAATCAGATGAGTGTTAGAGGTTTTGAAATCCATTATGGCTTGGTACCCTGGCAGTGTGATGTTTGATCTCTGGCTTCAGTAAATGGCTATGGTGGAATGTGGCCTGGGCACTGCCACCCTTTGAGAACCTTAAATGTTTGCCCATCTTTTTCCCCCCTAGTTAAATATCACAGGGAAGGGAGGGTTCTGCTTCCTGAACCTGATTCTAGACATATCAACAGAGCCAATTCAATACTGCTAAAATGTCTATCTCAAAATGACCAGGCAGAGAAAGAAAGGAAGTGCTGGTGACTATTGCCATATAGAGGTGAAAATTTAATTTTAAGTTTAGATTCTGAGTCTTGGTTTTCTTACATCTTAAAATGTTCTAGAGAGGGGAGAGATAAGTTGTTTGAAAGAAAGTGGGCTAGTTTAAAAACTAGCCAAGGGCTGGGAAGGTAGCTCAGTGGTAGAGCGCTTGCCTTGCATGCATGAGGCCCTGGGTTTGATTCCTCAGCACCACATAAGCAAAAAGAAAAAAGCCGGAAATGGTGCTGTGGCTCAAGTGGTAGAGTGCTAGCCTTGAGCTGAAGAGCTAAGGGACAGTGCCCAGGCCCAGAGTTCAGGCCTCATGACCGGAACCAAAAAAAAAATTTTTTAAAACTAGCCAAAAAAGAAATGGCACAGCCCCTCATCACAGAAAATAAAAAGGGACCTATCATGAATACCTCAAACAATGCCTAACAATGCTGTAGCTGATGCTGAGGTTGGAAAATGCTTCACATTATAAATAACTTCCCCTATCATAAGCTCAAATAAAGAGGGCCATCACTGTGGAAAAGGAGGAAAAGTAATGTTCATCATTGTTCTGAAACAAGCAAGGAGGAAATCAACAGATTTAGAAGCTATGTGTTCCAGCTCTCCACCTTAACATCCAAGGCTTTCTGATGTCGCTACCTTGCTCATTTTTATCTTTGTCATTTGTCACATGGGGACAGCACCATCAGCCAAACTTCCGTAACTGTCCATTGTCAAAACCTAGTAGGGAATCAATACAGAAATGATAACTATGGTTATAATTGGATCCATCCAAAATATTTAGGAAAACTGTGATGCTGCCAGACAGCACTATGAATGGACCACGAGAAAAGGAGACCTGATCTTTCCAGGGCAGACCTTCATTAAGGCATGCTAGAACCTGCTAAGAGACTGGATCTAATCAGCCTATCAAACAGGTGTCAGGTAGTGTCATCTTACAACAAATCCACAACAAAGTTTATCAGTGGAAATTGATAAATGCAATAATTAGTTCTGGTTGCTTAATTATTGGAAGCTCATTCATTTAGTACATTTTGTATTGAGCAATTATTACTGGCCAAGTACCATTCTAGGTGGAAGGGATCTAACACTGAAGAAAGTTTCTGTCTATCTAATGTGGCTGATATTTCCGTGATTCCTCAACCACAGAAATGTAAAATAGGTGTAACAAATACATGCAAGCAATCATGTGGCTTTTGCTGTAATACAATGTTTTGGATTTTTTTTTAACCAAAGCCTTCACACAAAAGCTTTACAAGAATATTCTAAATGATTTGAATGTGATATTTTATTTCTTATTTCTAGGCCACATTTTACAATCTACCAACTAACTGCCCCTGTAAGAAAGGTGCCCTTGGGCTGGGAAGGTAGCTCAGTGGTAGAGCACTTGACTTTCATGCAGGAGGCCCTGGGTTCAATTCCTCAGCACCACATAAGCAAAAAGAAAAAAGCCAGAAGTGGTGCTGTGGCTCAAGTGGTAGAGCGCTAGCCTTGAGCTGAAGAGCTGAGGGACAGCGCCCAGGCCCAGAGTTCAGGCCCCACGACCGGACCCCCCCCAAAAAAAAGAAAGGTACCCTTAGGTTGGAGGGATTACTGTGTGTGTGTGAGAGAGAGAGAGAGAAAGAGAGACAGAGAGAGAGACAGAGAGAGAGAGAGAGAGGGAGAAAGGGAGAGAGGGAGAGAGAGAGAGAGGGAGAGAGGGGGTGAAGGAGGGAGAGGAAGAGTGGGTGTGTCTGTTTTGACATGGACCAAAACATTTTCCCATATTTTTCTCCAAGGAAAAATAATCTACATACATATATCCAATAACAACCCCAGTTTTAACAAGGGGAATATCAATTCTTTTAGAAGCA